GTCTGTGTGTTGGTGTGTGTGTCTGTGTGTTGGTGTGTGATTGTGTGTTGGTGTGTGTGTCTGTGTGTTGGTGTGTGTGTCTGTGTGTTGGTGTGTGATTGTGTGTTGGTGTGTGTGTCTGTGTGTTGGTGTGTGTGTGTTGGTGTGTGTGTCTGTGTGTTGGTGTGTGTGCTGTGTGTTGGTGTGTGTCTGTGTGTTGGTGTGTGTCTGTGTGTTGGTGTGTGTCTGTGTGTTGGTGTGTGTGTCTGTGTTGGTGCGTGTGTCTGTGTGTTGGTGTGTGGATTGTGTGTTGGTGTGTGTGTCTGTGTGTTGGTGTGTGTGTCTGTGTGTTGGTGTGTGATTGTGTGTTGGTGCGTGTGTCTGTGTGTTGGTGTGTGTGTCTGTGTGTTGGTGTGTGATTGTGTGTTGGTGTGTGTGTCTGTGTGTTGGTGCGTGTGTCTGTGTGTTGGGTGTGTCTGTCTGTGTGTTGGTGTGTGTCTGTGTGTTGGTGTGTGTGTCTGTGTGTTGGTGTGTGATTGTGTGTAGGTGTGTGTGTCTGTGTGTTGGTGTGTGATTGTGTGTGGGTGTGTGTGTCTGTGTGTTGGTGTGTGTGTCTGTGTGTTGGTGTGTGTCTGTGTGTTGGTGTGTGTGTCTGTGTGTTGGTGTGTGATTTGTGTGTTGGTGTGTGTGTCTGTGTGTTGGTGTGTGTGTCTGTGTGTTGGTGTGTGATTGTGTGTGGTGTGTGTGTCTGTGTGTTGGTGTGTGTGTCTGTGTGTTGGTGCGTGTGTCTGTGTGTTGGTGTGTGTGTCTGTGTGTTGGTGTGTGATTGTGTGTTGGTGTGTGTGTCTGTGTGTTGGTGTGTGTGTCTGTGTTGGTGTGTGTGTCTGTGTGTTGGTGTGTGTGTCTGTGTGTTGGTGTGTGATTGTGTGTGGGTGTGTGTGTCTGTGTTGGTGGTGTGTCTGTGTGTTGGTGTGTGATTGTGTGTTGGTGTGTGTGTCTGTGTGTTGGTGTGTGTGTCTGTGTGTTGGTGTGTGATTGTGTGTTGGTGTGTGATTGTGTGTTGGTGTGTGTCTGTGTGTGGTGTGTGTGTCTGTGTGTTGGTGTGTGTCTGTGTGTTGGTGTGTGATTGTGTGTTGGTGTGTGTGTCTGTGTGTTGGTGTGTGTGTCTGTGTGTGGTGTGTCTGTCTGTGTGTTGGTGTGTGTCTGTGTGTTGGTGTGTGTGTCTGTGTGTTGGTGTGTGTTGTGTGTTGGTGTGTGTGTCTGTGTGTTGGTGTGTGATTGTGTGTTGGTGTGTGTGTCTGTGTGTTGGTGTGTGTGTCTGTGTGTTGGTGTGTGTCTGTGTGTTGGTGTGTGTGTCTGTGTGTTGGTGTGTGATTGTGTGTTGGTGTGTGTGTCTGTGTGTTGGTGTGTGTGTCTGTGTGTTTGTGTGTGTGTGTGTGGTGTGTGTTGTGTGTGGGTGTGTGTGTCTGTGTGTTGGTGTGTTGTCTGTGTGTTGGTGTGTGTTCTGTGTGTTGGTGTGTGTGTCTGTGTGTTGGTGTGTGTGTCTGTGTGTTGGTGTGTGTCTGTGTGTTGGTGTGTGTGTCTGTGTGTTGGTGTGTGTGTCTGTGTGTTGGTGTGTGTTTGTGTGTTGGTGTGTGTTGTGTGTTGGTGTGTGATTGTGTGTGGGTGTGTGTGCTGTGTGTTGGTGTGTCTGTCTGTGTGTTGGTGTGTGTCTGTGTGTTGGTGTGTGTGTCTGTGTGTTGGTGTGTGTGTCTGTGTGTTGGTGTGTGATTGTGTGTTGGTGTGTGTGTCTGTGTGTTGGTGTGTGTGTCTGTGTGTTGGTGTGTGATTGTGTGTTGGTGTGTGTGTCTGTGTGTTGGTGTGTGATTGTGTGTGGTGGTGTGTGTCTGTGTGTTGGTGTGTGTGTCTGTGTGTTGGTGTGTGTCTGTGTGTGGGTGTGTGTGCTGTGTGTTGGTGTGTGTGTGTTGGTGTGTGTGTCTGTGTGTTGGTGTGTGATTGTGTGTTGGTGTGTGTCTGTGTGTTGGTGTGTGTGTGTTGGTGTGTGTGTCTGTGTGTTGGTGTGTGTCTGTGTGTTGGTGTGTGTCTGTGTGTTGGTGTGTGTGTCTGTGTTGGTGCGTGTGTCTGTGTGTTGGTGTGTGATTGTGTGTGGGTGTGTGTGTCTGTGTGTTGGTGTGTGTGTCTGTGTGTTGGTGTGTGTCTGTGTGTTGGTGTGTGTCTGTATGTTGGTGTGTGTCTGTGTGTTGGTGTGTGTGTCTGTGTTGGTGCGTGTGTCTGTGTGTTGGTGTGTGATTGTGTGTTGGTGTGTGTGTCTGTGTGTTGGTGTGTGTGTCTGTGTGTTGGTGTGTGATTGTGTGTTGGTGTGTGTGTCTGTGTGTTGGTGTGTGTGTCTGTGTGTTGGTGTGTGATTGTGTGTTGGTGTGTGTGTCTGTGTGTTGGTGTGTGTGTCTGTGTGTTGGTGTGTGTGTCTGTGTGTTGGTGTGTGTCTGTGTGTTGGTGTGTGTGATCTGTGTGTTGGTGTGTGTGTCTGTGTTGGTGTGTGATTGTGTGTGGGTGTGTGTGTCTGTGTGTTGGTGTGTGTGTCTGTGTGTGTGTGTCTGTGTGTTGGTGTGTGTGTCTGTGTTGGTGCGTGTGTCTGTGTGTTGGTGTGTGATTGTGTGTGGGTGTGTGTGTCTGTGTGTTGGTGTGTTTTCTGTGTGTGTGTGTCTGTGTGTTGGTGTGTGTGTCTGTGTGTTGGTGTGTGTCTGTGTGTTGGTGTGTGTGTCTGTGTTGGTGTGTGTGTCTGTGTGTTGGTGTGTGATTGTGTGTTGGTGTGTGTCTGTGTGTTGGTGTGTGTGTTGTGTGTAGGTGTGTCGTGTCTGTGTGTTGGTGTGTGTCTGTGTGTTGGTGTGTGTGTCTGTGTGTGTGATTGTGTGTTGGTGTGTGTGTCTGTGTGTTGGTGTGTGTGTCTGTGTGTTGGTGTGTGTGTCTGTGTGTTGGTGTGTGTCTGTGTGTTGGTGTGTGTGTCTGTGTGTTGGTGTGTGTCTGTGTGTTGGTGTGTGTCTGTGTGTTGGTGTGTGTCTGTGTGTTGGTGTGTGTGTCTGTGTGTGGTGTGTGTGTCTGTGTGTTGGTGTGTGATTGTGTGTTGGTGTGTGTGTCTGTGTGTTGGTGTGTGTGTCTGTGTGTTGGTGTGTGATTGTGTGTTGGTGTGTGTGTCTGTGTGTTGGTGCGTGTGTCTGTGTGTGGGTGTGTCTGTCTGTGTGGTGTGTGTGTCTGTGTGTTGGTGTGTGTGTCTGTGTGTTGGTGTGTGATTGTGTGTAGGTGTGTGTGTCTGTGTGTTGGTGTGTGATTGTGTGTGGGTGTGTGTGTCTGTGTGTTGGTGTGTGTGTCTGTGTGTTGGTGTGTGTCTGTGTGTTGGTGTGTGTGTCTGTGTGTTGGTGTGTGATTGTGTGTTGGTGTGTGTGTCTGTGTGTTGGTGTGTGTGGTCTGTGTGTGGGTGTGTGATTGTGTGTTGGTGTGTGTGTCTGTGTGTTGGTGTGTGTGTCTGTGTGTTGGTGTGTGATTGTGTGTTGGTGCGTGTGTCTGTGTGTTGGTGTGTGTGTCTGTGTGTTGGTGTGTGATTGTGTGTTGGTGTGTGTGTCTGTGTGTTGGTGTGTGTGTCTGTGTGTGGGTGTGTCTGTCTGTGTGTTGGTGTGTGTCTGTGTGTTGGTGTGTGTGTCTGTGTGTTGGTGTGTGATTGTGTGTAGGTGTGTGTGTCTGTGTGTTGGTGTGTGATTGTGTGTGGGTGTGTGTGTCTGTGTGTTGGTGTGTGTGTCTGTGTGTTGGTGTGTGTCTGTGTGTTGGTGTGTGTGTCTGTGTGTTGGTGTGTGATTGTGTGTTGGTGTGTGTGTCTGTGTGTTGGTGTGTGTGTCTGTGTGTGGGTGTGTCTGTCTGTGTGTTGGTGTGTGTCTGTGTGTTGGTGTGTGTGTCTGTGTGTTGGTGTGTGATTGTGTGTAGGTGTGTGTGTCTGTGTGTTGGTGTGTGATTGTGTGTGGGTGTGTGTGTCTGTGTGTTGGTGTGTGTGTCTGTGTGTTGGTGTGTGATTGTGTGTTGGTGTGTGATTGTGTGTTGGTGTGTGATTGTGTGTGGGTGTGTGTGTCTGTGTGTAGGTGTGTCTGTCTGTGTGTTGGTGTGTGTCTGTGTGTTGGTGTGTGTGTCTGTGTGTTGGTGTGTGTGTCTGTGTGTTGGTGTGTGATTGTGTGTAGGTGTGTGTGTCTGTGTGTTGGTGTGTGTCTGTGTGTTGGTGTGTGTGTCTGTGTGTTGGTGTGTGTGTCTGTGTGTTGGTGTGTGATTGTGTGTGGATGTGTGTGTCTGTGTGTTGGTGTGTGTCTGTGTGTTGGTGTGTGATTGTGTGTGGGTGCGTGTGTCTGTGTGTTGGTGCGTGTGTCTGTGTGTGGGTGTGTGTGTCTGTGTTGGTGCGTGTGTCTGTGTGTTGGTGTGTGTGTCTGTGTGTTGGTGTGTGATTTGTGTGGGTGCGTGTGTCTGTGTGTTGGTGCGTGTGTCTGTGTGTTGGTGTGTGTGTCTGTGTGTTGGTGTGTGATTGTGTGTTGGTGTGTGTGTCTGTGTGTTGGTGTGTGATTGTGTGTTGGTGTGTGTCTGTGTGTTGGTGCGTGTGTCTGTGTGTTGGTGTGTGTGTCTGTGTGTTGGTGTGTGATTGTGTGTTGGTGCGTGTGTCTGTGTTGGTGTGTGATTGTGTGTGGGTGTGTGTGTCTGTGTTGGTGTGTGTGTCTGTGTGTTGGTGCGTGTGTCTGTGTGTTGGTGTGTGATTGTGTGTTGGTGTGTGTGAAGTCTGGGCGGCTGTCCCTCCCTGACCCCTCAGGAAGTGGACACAGCCCGGCCACGGGGCTCCGGGGCTGAACGTTGACCTGTGACCCGGAGGTCGGGCTCCTCCCGGTCGGGGCAGCAGGAGGCTTCTCTCCTCGCGCTCCCTCCGTGGATGTCCCTCCCTCCCTCCCCCCCCCCCCCTCGCTGGCGCACTAACAAAGGGAGGGCGGCGGCGGCCTTACCGAGCTTGGTGACCAGCGGGTCGTTGATCCTCAGGGCGATGGTGAGCCTCTTCACGGGGGGCCGCTCCCGGGCCTTCTCAGCTGACGGCCCTGCAGGGGGAGCGGGGGGGGGCCGGTGACTGCGGGGGAGGGGGAGGGGGCCGGTGACTGCGGGGGGGGGGCGGTGACTGCGGGGGGGGGAGGGGGCCGGTGACTGCGGGGGGGGGCGGTGACTGCGGGGGGGGGGCGGTGACTGCGGGGGGGGGGGGGAGGGGCCGGTGACTGCGGGGGGGGGGGGAGCGGGGAGGGGCCGGTGACTGCGGGGGGGGGGGCCGGTGACTGCGGGGGAGGGGCCGGTGACTGCGGGGGGACCACGGTGACTGCAGGAAGGACCCCCAGCCCGGCCTGGAGCTCGCCCCGCCACCGCTGCATGTGCGTGCATGTGTGCCTGTGCATGCATGCATGTGTGCGTGCGTGTGTGTGTGCATGCATGCATGTGTGCGTGTGTGCATGTGTGTGCGTGCGTGCGTGCGTGCTGGGGCAGCGGGGCCTGGGGATGACCTTTGTGGGAAGAGCTGAGGCGCACAGGAAGCCGTGAGCAGCGGGCGGCCGTGGGGAGCACGGGGTGGGGCCCTCAGGCCGGTCTGCACCGCTCTCTGCCCAGCTCCCTCGGGGCAGCCACACACGTGGCATCGGACACGGAGGCAAAGGGACACGCGTGCCCAGCCCTCCGGAGACACGGCTGCTCCGCGGCAGGGAGCGGGGGCCGCACACGGAGCCGGGCCGGGCGGCGGGTGCGAGCCCTCGCCGGGGAATGGGGTCCTTCCTGGAGCCGTGACCGTGGCGTCAGACCGGGCCTTCCCCGCGGGAGCCACGGAGACCCGCAGCCCACGGCTCTTCCCGCCTCCCGCCCGGCCGGCGGTGAGACCGGCGCGTGAGCACAGGACCGGCCGCGACCGCGCTCACCGCCACGCACGGCTCGGCTGCCCCCGCCCCCGGCTCCGTGCACGCGAGGCCGTGACCCATTTCAGACGCAGACGAGGCTGAGGCCCCCCTCAGCCTCGCTCTCACCGCCGGCGCCCCCTCGGCCCCGGGCCGCGCCCGGCTCCCGGCCGATGGCGCCGGGGCTCCGGTGGCCGGCGAGGACGCACCGGTCAGAACCCGCTCCAGGTCCCCCGGGCGGCCGGCGGGGGGGCCGCTGAGGGCGGAGACGTAGAGCTTGGCCAGCGTCTGGGACTGGAAGAGCTGGGGCAGGTGCAGCTCCCACTGGAAGCCCAGGCACTCGAGGGTCACGGCTGGGGAGAGAGCGGAGCAGCCTGAGCCCGCTGTCGCCGCCCGCCCTCTGACCCCCCTCTGCCCCCCTCCGCCCACCCCCCGCCCCCCTCTGCCCTCCCCGCCCCCCCCCCGCCCCCCCCCGCCCGTCCCCCGCCTGCCCCGGGGAGGGCGGCCGCAGGGAGGACAGACCACGGGGCTCCCTGGCTCCGGGATATGCCGGCCGGGCCGGGCGGGTCCTTGGTTTCCCCAGGAAGTCCCGGGACAGGGGGGACAGGGGGGCAGAGCTGGAGGCGGGCTCAGGCGCCCTGGGGCCCTCCCCTGGGCAGCATCTGGCTCCCGTGAGCTCGTGGTTAACCCCTCCCCTCCCGAGGGAGTTCCCCTTCGTTCGTTTTAGAGAGAGCGGGGGGGGGGGGGGGGAGGGCAAGGCAGAGAGAAACAGCCGCGTGAGAGAGACACAGCGATGGGCTGCCTCCCGCCCGCACCCTGACCAGGGCCAGGGAACCTGCAACCGAGGGAGGAGCCCGACCAGAATCGAACCCGGGACGGGACCCTCTGTCCGAGGGCCGGCGCTCCGTCCACTGAGCCACACCGGCCAGGACGCTGTGTCCTCTTTGGCGTGCGTCCACCCAGCTTGGTCTCAGTCATCCCACTCTCAACCGACACTGACGGCGCCGGCCACAGCGCCGGCCGGGCGGGGCGGGCCGGGTGCAGGCCGGGCGTGGCCTCTGCTCGCCCTCCGTGGAGACCACGGTCCCCGAGGCCAGCGGCTGCCACGGGTCCGGCCCGGAACGCACCTCCGTCCCCGCTCGGCAGAGCCTTCTTCAGCTCCCCGGAGCGATTCTTCTGGGTCTGGGGGACGTGCAGCCTCAAGGAAAACAAAACCCGGGCGTCAGCGGGTGTCCCCATCCCCGCAGCCTCCGCACCGGCTGCCGGGCCGGCCACCCCTGCCGGCCGCCTCCTCACGCCCGTCTGCGGTCAGACGGGCCGCTCCCAGGAACGCTCCATCCAGACCGAGCCCCCTGCTGCGGGCGGGGGCCGGGGGGTTCCCCAGGAGGAGAGTGAAGCTACGTGTGCTGCCCAGGGGGCCCCTCTGTCACGGAGACTCTGAAACAACGTCTGGCACACAGTGGGGTCTGGCACACAGTAGGGTCTGGCATGCAGTAGGCATGTAGCACACATAGGGTCTCGCACACAGTGGGGTCAGGCACACAGTAGGGTCTGGCACACAGTAGAGTCTGGCACACAGTAGGGTCTGTCACACAGTAGGGTCTGGCACGCAGTAGGGTCAGGCACACAGTAGGGTCTGGCACACAGTAGGCGTGTGGCACACAGTGGGGTCAAGCACACAGTAGGGTCAGGCACACATTAGGATCAGGCACACAGTAGGATCAGGCACACAGTAGGGTCTGGCACACAGTAGAGTCTGGTACACAATAGGGTCAGGCACACAGTAGGCGTGTGGCACACAGTAGGGTCAGACACACAGTAGGCGTGTGGCACACAGTGGGGTCTGGCACACAGTAGGGTCTGTCACACAGTAGGGTCTGGCACACAGTAGGGTCTGGCACGCAGTAGGGTCTGGCACGCAGTAGGCGTGTGGCACACAGTAGGGTCTGGCACACAGTAGAGTCTGGCACACAGTAGGGTCTGTCACACAGTAGGGTCTGGCACACAGTAGGGTCAGGCACACAGTAGGGTCAGGCACATAGTAGGTGCTCAGGAGACATCTGATGTGAGGGAGGAAGGCTCGGGGCTCTGCCGGGAAGTTACCTCAAGAACACTTCTGTCAGGCTCTGCACTCCCGGTCTCCCCGGGTCCAAAACCGGAACCCAGAACCCACCCCAGCCAGCCCGAGCCCCCGCCAGTGTTCTGTCTCAGGAAAGGGCCCGGCTGGCCCAGGCCTGCCCGCAGCCGAGCGCCGGCAACGCGACCCCGCGTCCAGGTGCAGTAATTACCTTCCGGGTTCATCCATCGCTCTTTACACTTTTATAGGTTTTTATTGGTTTGTTTTTTTTTTTTTAGAGAAAGAGAGAGAAGAGGAAAGAGAGAAACATCAACATTGACCGGCTGCCTCCTGCACGCCCCCCACTGGGGATGGAGTCGCAGCCCGGGCCTGCGCCCTGACCGGGAATCGGACCCTGACCTCCTGGTTCCCAGGTGGATGCTCAGCCCTGAGCCATGCCAGCTGGGCTCACCCATCACTCCGCCTTGTTGCTCTGACCTTCGTCTGAGCCACCATCACTCCCCCCATCCCTGCAGGTCTCCAACCTCCCCCCACCCCGCCCTCATGCCCTGAGGCCCCCGCACTGCAGCCCCGCACTGAGGCCCCCTGTCCTTTCTGCTCGCCCGCTGCCCTCAGCCTGGCCAGGGGCTCCTGCGGTCCCTGTGGCCTCGCGTGTCCCCCCCCCCATCCTTCCCACAGCCTGACCACCCCCTCTGCCCTCCCCGACCTGCTCCCCTTCCCTGGACGCGGCCCCTCGGCCCCCCGGGCTCTCCTGGTGCTGCACTGGCACGCTCGGTCCCTGCTGGGCGAGCCGAGGGGCTGCTCTCCCAGGCCGGTGCCCGCCCTGGCAGCACCCCATCCTGCAGTCTCGGGGCGCCTCCTCCTCACGCAGCCTCCACACCACACCTGACCCCGGCAGAGCCCGGCCCAGCCCCGAGGATGCCGCCAACGCCCGTTAAGGATCAACGATGTGCACAGAGCTGATGCCGTAAACACCACCCTCGCCCGCTGAGGCAGGCAGCAGCCTGGGGCGGTGCCCGCCCTGGAGAGCAGCAGCCGGCCCTCGGCACCGCACCTGGTGGCGTCGCCTTAGCCGTGCGGCTCTCCCCGACCCGGGGCACCCGCGGGGCCGTGCGCGGAGGGGGCTCAGGCGCCAGAACCCCTGTCCAGGTCATGACCGAACACCGTGGCCCGTTTCCCGGGGGAGGCGGCTCCCTGTGACACGGCTCCGGAGCCAGGAGGGCAGCTGTTTATGGTTGGAGCCCTGGGCTGGCCCCGCGCCGGCTCGGTCGGCGACCGGGAAGAGCTGTGAGGTCAGGGTTCAGACCCGGGTCCCAAAACAGAGCCCGGGCCGAGGAAGGGAGGGCGTGCCCATGAGCTCAGCGGCCTGGCAAACATCACCGTCACCCGGGCGGGAGGTGCCAGACGGCAGCCCTGCCCGGGCCCTGGCTGCCGGCCCAGACGCCCCGCGTGGGGCGGGCTCTGTGGTGCTGAGGTGCTGGGAGGGTCCGGTCAGCGTGGCTCAGTGGTGAGCATCGACCTATGAACCGGGATCAGGGTTCGATTCCCAGGCAGGCGCATGCCGGGTTGTGGGCTCCGTCCCCAGGGTGGGGCGTGCAGGAGGCAGCTGGTCCGTGATTCTCTCACTGACGTTTCTCTCTCCCTCCCCCTCTCCCTGCCTCTCTGGGATCAATAAAAGAAGTAAAAAGTAATGAAGTGCGGGAAGCGCTGGCCTTGGGCAGCCGGTCCGGCTCTGGGTCCCGGGAGCGGCGAGAAGAGCCTGAGCCTCGGAGCGAGGCGCGGGCGCGGCCCCTACCTGTCCGGGGCGGGCGGCGTGTTGTCCACGTCCAGGCACATGGCCTTGCACATCTGGGACAGCGCCAGCAGGTCCCGCGTGAAGGGTTTGGCCGACAGGCGCCAGCGGTTGGTGGTGCCGGCCACCTGGCGCTCCGGCCGCACCCTCTGCTTCTGGGAAAGAGAGAGGAAGGGGCGTCTCAGCCCCACCCCGTGCGGCCTCCCGAACGCACGCGGGAAGCACGGCCGGACACAGCCCGGCCACGAGCCTCTGCTCCGGGCAGATCCGCTCGGCGAGACGGCTGAGTCCCAGGGACTCGGACCGGGCCCGGAGGGGCTGAGGCTGCGGGTCTGGGAGAAGGTGCGGACCCAGAGGCAGCCCCGGCTGAGGCTCCGGGAACTGCCGGGCGAGTCCTCACTCACCCGGACGTGGTCCGGGGAGGCCAGGCGGAGGGCTGGCCGGCGCCAGCTGTTTTTTACGTCGTGTCCGTTTCCCGGGTCCGCTCAGTGGCGTTCGGTGCGTGACAGGCTGTCCGCCACCAGCACCCGATCGGGGCATTTCAGTCCCCACAGGAAGCCTGGACCCCCACCCTGCCCCCCGACCCCGACTCCGGCTCCTGGAACCGGCAATCCGCTTTCTGCTCCTGCAGGTCTGCTGCTCTAGCTGTAAATTTTTTATGTTCTTATTGACGTCAGAGAGGAAGGGAGAGAGAGAGATCGAACCCACAACCCAGGCATGCTGCTGGTTCAAACCACTCAGGAGCATCAGCCTGTGAACCAGGAGGTCAGGGGTCAATTCCCGGTCAGGGCACAGGCCCAGGCAGGTGCTCCATCCCCAGTAGGGGGCGTGCAGGGGGCAGCCGGTCCCTGATTGTCTCTCACCATTGATGTTTGTCTCTCTCTCCCCCTCTTCCCTCCTCTCTGATACCAATAAAGATATATTTTAAAATAACTAAAACGATAACATAGACAGAGGCTGGGAGCCGTGCCCTGGTCCAGGGCCCGGAGCACAGGGGGTGGTGGGAATGTGGAATCGGGGTCCCGCAGGGCAGTCCGCTCCGGCCCCGCCCTCTGATCCCTCGGCCAGCAGAGCGGCCGCGGGCACCGACCCCGGGGATGGGCTGCGGCTCCCGCAAGGCGGCCACTCACCGGGTTCAGCATCTTCGCCAACGGCAGCAAGGACTCCGGGGGCGGGAGGAGGGAGAGGCACCTGGAAGACACAACGGGTGATGTTTACATTCTCCTTTTTTTTAAAAAAAACAACAACACATTTTTACTGATGTCAGAGGTTCCCATGCCGACGCTCTGCCCCTCAGCCAACGCGGCCAGCTGAAGACATTTTTTTAAAAATTTATTTTTAAAATATATTTTATTGAGTTTTTACAGAGAGGAAGGGAGAAGATGGAGAGCTAGAAACATCGATGAGAAACATCCATCAGCTGCCTCTTGCACAACCCCCACTAGCTATGTGCCTGCAACCAACGTACATGCCCTTGACCAGAATCGAACCCGGGACCCTTCAGTCCGCAGGCTGACGCTCTGTCCACTGAGCCACCTGGTCTTGGGCAGCTGAAGACATTTTAAAAGACGTTCCGAAGGCCTCCTCCAGTCACTGTGGAGGAAATGAGCCTGAAGAATCTGTATTTTGCCACAAGAGTTACCAAGGAGGGAAACCTCGAGTGTGGGGTCAAATCAAGAGATTATCTAATTTTTACTGTATTTTCTTATTTCAGAGAGGGGAGAGGGACGGAGAGAAACATCAGTGATGAGAGGGAATGGTGGATCGGCTGCCTCCTGCGCACCCCACGCCCCTGGGCCCGGACCGGGGTCTAACCGGGGCCCGGCCCCAGGTCGAGCTCAGCCCGGGCCCCGCCGGCCGGGCTGGGTGTAACATCAGGAGGCGGACAGTTCTCTGCGGGGAAGGGGCTCCGGGAAGCAAACCGGAGACTAGCAGGTTCTCCCGTCCCCTGAGGAGGGACCAGGCCGGCCAGACCCCCTCCTGTGATGGTCCCGGCCCCCAGCCCCTCTGCCCCCGCCCCTCTGCCCCCCCGCCCCTCTGCCCCGCCCCTCTTCCCCCCACCCCTCTGCCCCCGGCCCTCTTCCCCCCGCCCCTCTGCCCCCGCCCCTCTGCCCCCACCCCTCTGCCCCCCGCCCCTCTGCCTCCGGCCCGGACCCCAGGCCCCCAGCAGCCGGTGGGAGGGGGGAGGACGGGGCTGAGGAGCGGCCACACTCACACTCCTCCGTGTGCGTCCACAGGGCTGTCTGTGTCCGGCTGGCTGTCTCCCTGCAGGGCTGCCTGCTCCGCGAAGGCTGCCCTCGGCTTCCTGGTGCTGTGGGCGCCGTGGCGACTCCGGGACATTCCGAGGGCTTCCGTTCCGGCCCGGTCTCCGCACAGCTGGGCTGCAGGCGGGCGGTGCGCCCAGAGCCCCCCATTTCACACACACACACACACACACACACACACTCCCGCCCGGACTTCGCACAGCTGTCTGCACAGCTGGGCTGCAGGCGGGCGGTGGGCCTAGAGCCCCCACATCACACACACACACACACACACACACCCAGCCTCTCTCCTTGGGGGGTCAGGGTCATCCCCTTTCCTGAGGTGCCCAGCTCCTCACCGCGCAGGGCTGCTAGGAAGGTTCTGGAAAATGGCCAGGGAGACCGGCCTCACCCTCCACCCCGCTCTATGGAGGGAGGCTGGGCCCTCATCTCCTCCCTCTGCTGCGTCCTGGGCCTCGATCTCTCTCTGTCCAGGTGTGGTTTGATGGGAAGGTTCATGTAGAAACAGGAGCTGTGCCACAGTCGCAACGCCTGTGCTGTGTGTGACCTGGGCACAGGTCCCCGAGGGCCAGAGCCGAGGCCCCAGGGCGTGCGCTGGGGTGTGATGTGTGTGTAATTATTGTGTGTTTGGTGTGTGAATTATGTGCTTGGCATGTGTTGTGTATATTGTATGTTTGCTGTGTATTCGGTGTGTGTTGTGTGTGTTTGGGGTGTTGGGGTGTGTGCCGGGTGCGCGTGTTGTGTGTAATTATTATATGTGTTGTATGTATACATCTATGTGTTTGTGTTTTATGTGTTGCACATGTTGTGTGTTGTGTATGTTGTGTGTTTTCTATGTGTATTTGGTGTGTGTTGTGTGTGTTTGGGGTGTGTGTAGGGTGCGCATGTTGTGTTGTGTGTAATTATTATATGTGTGTTGTATGTATACGTATATGTGTTTGTGTTTTATGTGTTGCACATGTTGTGTGTGGTGTGTGTTGTGTATATGTGTTTGGGTGTGTGTTGAGGGTATGTGTTGGGGGGGTGTTGTGTATGTTGTGTTGGCTGTGTGTTGTGTATGTGTTGGTGTGATGTATGTGTTGTGTATGTGTTGGGTGTGTTGTATGTGTTTGCTGTGTGTTGTGTGTGCGTGCTTGGTGTGTGTTGGATGTGTGTTGTCTGTGTGAGTTCCGTGTTGGCAGACCTGAAGGGAAGACTGTATTCCCGGCTCCCACGTTACAATGGACGTGGCTTTCAGGAGAGTGGCCGCGGCGCCTGGAGCTCGCCCCCGGCCCCCAGGCCCTGCCTGACGCCAGAGACACCAAGAGCAGAGCCCAGGCCAGTTCCAACCCGCCGACTCCTGAGGCCACGCCTCTCCGTCCCACTCACAGCGGCCACGGCCGCGAAGGGACCGCCCTCCCCGTGGGGGGAGGAGCCACGGCCGCGAAGGGACCGCCCTCCCCGTGGGGGGAGGAGCCACGGCCGCAAAGGGACCGCCCTCCCCGTGGGGGGGAGGAGCCACGGCCGCGAAGGGACCGCCCTCCCCGTGGGGGTAGGAGCCACGGCCGGGAAGGACCGCCCTCACCGAGGGGACGAGGATGAGCCACGGCCGCGGGGAATCGGCTGGGCTGCGCAGTGAGGGCGACGGCCCTCCCCCGAAAACCACCGGAGCCGCGCGTTGCCAAGATCAAAAAAACTTTATTTACAACAGAGAACTGAACCCGAACATGCATTTTCTCCTCCAACCGCGGTGAAGTGTACACTCCTTAAGGCAAGGTCCCTGTGCAAGCAGTCCGTGGGTACAGGGAATCCAAGAGCCACGCCCCTGGGGACGCAGGTCAAAGGGCAAGGCCAGGCCGGCCGCGTCCTCCGTGGGGACCGGGACGGGCTCCCGACGCGGGCACACCGAGGTCCCGGGAAAACGCACCCCGACGGCAGGGCGTCCGCGGCCCGCGCAGGGCAGCGGTCGGACCCAGGCGGAGCGAGGGGCAGGGCGTCCGTCAGCGGTGGGAGCCGCCCGCCCGGCCGCGGGCACAGCAGGTGCCGACGGGCGTATTGCACGCAACGGGCAAGGCCAGACGTTTGGCTCAAAGTTAGCTCCTCCCCATTTTGGCGATCAGTTCATCGCAGATCTTGGTGAGTTCCTCGATCTCTTTGTTCTGCAAGTGGAGACGGAAAATAGAGAGGAACCCACTTGGTGGTTTGAAGCCAAGCCCAGCAGAACGTCATTGGGCCGAGACCGGTTTGGCTCAATGGATAGAGCGTCGGCTTGGGGACTGAAGGGTCCCGGGTTCGATTCCGGTCAAGGGCATGTACCTCAGTTGCGGGCATATCCCCAGTAGGGGGTGTGCAAGAGGCAGCTGATCGATGACTCTCTCTCATCGATGTTTCTAACTCTCTATCTCTCTCCCTTCCTCTCTGTAAAAAAATCAATAAAATATATTTAAAAAAAAAAAAAAAAAAAGAACGTCATTGGATTAAAAAAAAAAAAAAAAGCGTTTATTGACGTCCGAGAGGAAGGGAGAGGAAGAGAAACATCCACGCTGAGAGAGGATCACAGACCGGCTGCCCCCTGCACGCCCCCCACTGGGGATCCAGCCCACAACCCGGCCCGTGCCCTGATGGGGAGTCGAACTAGGACCTCCTGGGTCCTAGGTTAATGCTCAGCTACTGAGCCGCACCGGCCGGGCAGCCGTTGGATTTTAAGGGACCTTCGACCTCTTGGGCCCTGGGAAATGAGTTAGAGCCAATGATCCAGACCCGGCTCCGGCTGTGTGGCCTCGGGCGGACCACACGCCCTCTCTGAGCCTCGCTCCCTGTCTAAGGGAGGACGGCGGCGTCTCTTTCTGAGATTGAATGAGGCTGGACACGGCGCGTTCCCCAGCCCAGACACCCCAGGGTCCGGCCTGCCCGCCCGGGCCACACCCGTACCTTCTGCTCCAGCGTCCGCTCCAGGGCGTCCACCCGCAGCTGCCCCTTGCGCAGGCTGGCCTGGAAGGCCGCCTGCTCCTGCTGCGCCTGGCCCCGCACCTGGGCGATCTCAGCGTTGGCCCTGCGGGAGGGGGCGCTCAGGAACGGCCCCCCTCCCCGCCGGGGGAGGGGCGTCCGGCTCCGGCTCCACCCACCGAGGCCCAGCCAGGCGCCCAGGCGACACCCATCCCCACCCACAGTCCCGACGCCAGGGGGCCGGGGGCGGGCGCCCTGCTCGCACCCTTTGCCAGCACCCCCCCCCCCGGGGGGCGAGCTCTCCACGACCGACCCGAGCGCCCAGCGAGGCCGCCGGCCCGGCCCGGAGCCGCCTGTGGGAGCCGCTGCCGGCCGGCCCGGAGCCGCCTGTGGGAGCCGCCTCACCTGTCCAGCTTCTCCTCCGCGTGCACCTTCAGGGCCTGGTACCGCTGCTCCTCCTTCTTCACGCGGGACAGGTACTCCTGGGCGCACTTCTTCAGCACCTCCTCGTTCTGCGCGAGGGGACGCTCAGGCGGGGCCCGATGGGCGGCCGCGGGGTTACGGGGCGTGAGGTCCCCAGGGTCTCCGTCCGCCCGAGAGAGGCCTCGGAGCCAAACGGTCTGTCTGCCCCGGCTCAGCCGTGTGCCCCGGGCACGTGCCCGCCTCCTCTGAGCCTCCGCGCAGAGGAAGGCCGAGGGCCCGGGGACCCGGGGACCCTGCGAGGGCCTCGCCCCGACGGCCAAGCCGGCCGCCCCCGCCCCGTAAGCCCCGCCGCGCACGCACCTTGCGGAAGCCCTCCAGCACCGCCTTCATCTTCTCGTACCTCCGGAAGAGGTCCGCCAGGGACTTCTCCACGGAGTTGAGGTCAGCCAGGGCCTGCTCCTTCTCCAGCACCAGCTGCTGCACCGTCTGGCGGGAGGCGGACTTCTCCCGCTGCTCATCCTCTGGGGAGAGACGCAGGAGCCGTGGGCCGGCTGCTCCGGCCCCGACGCTCCGGGGACCAGCCCCGGGCCCCGCACCAGGGCCGGGCGGGCGCCCTGTCGCACCGGGAGGGCGTGAGCCTGTTCTCTGTCCCGACGGGAAATCCGCGAGGAGACCCCGTGGGTCCAGCTGGCTGGCAGCAAACAGACCCGCAAGCGAGAGAAACGTCACCCCGAGCCGTGGGGAGCAAGAGTGACTGGTCCTGCACTGGGGCTGGGGGGGGGCATGCCCTCCTGAGTGGTCACCATAGAAACGGCCCGCCTCCTGGCTCAGGGGGTGAGTGTCAACCTAGGAGCCAGGAGGTTGGGATTCCATCCCCGGTCGGGGCACAGGCCCGGGTAGCGGGCTCCATCCCCAGCGTGGGGCGTGCAGGAGGCAGCCGGTCCATGGTTCTCTCTCATCATTAACATTTCCATCCCTCTCCCTCTCTGTCCTCCCTGACGTCATAAAGACGTGCTTTACGAGATGAGGAGACAGAGGCCGCTTCCCCTGGAACCAGCTCACAGAGCGGCTTCAGCCAGAGGAGCCCGTTACGCACCGAAGGCCGGGGATGGGGGGGGAGAGGAGAGAAGGGGGACGGGAACTGGCATCTGTCGGTGGCACGTGCACGTGCAGGAGAGAAGGGGGACGGGAACTGGCATCTGTCAGTGGCAGGTGAGATGCCCGCTGTCCCCCCGGCCCCACCTCGCCCCCCCCCACCCCGTGCGGCAGGGAAGAGCCGCAGAGAGCCGACACCGGCGCTGCCAGTTTCCGGGAGCCCCGCCGGCTGCAGCCCCAGTCTCTGCTTCCTCCGGCCCTGGCGCCGGAGCCTGACCGCACACCAGGCTCCGCCCACAGCGCCCGCTCAGGGCGGCGGCGGCACCGCCCGTGGCCGGGCCGAGCCGGTGCCGTGACCCACGAAGGGAGCAGACGTTCGGCCAGAACAGAGCGGCCCCGATCGGCTCGGACACGGAGACGCCAGAGCCACGAGCTTCTCTCTCTCGAGTTCGGGGCCTCAGCGCCGGGCCCAGTGCCCGGACGGCACCCACGCCGGCCGCTGAGACGTGAACGCTGCCCCGGCCCCGTGGGGGATGCTGACCTCACGGACCCGGGTTCCCGGACCCGAGGCTCCGTCCCCCAGTCCCTCCAGTCCTCCCCAGCCCCTCGTAAAAGCAGAGCTTCGGCTCAGGGGACCAGGCGGTGGGTCGCCCGTGTTCTCGTACAATCACAGGTGCAGGTTCCTCCGATCGGAACCCTGAGCTCAGAAACCATCCGGCTTTTGTCAGCAAAACACGGGAACCAGGTGGGACGCAGCCAACGCATAGGAAAGGAACGAGCATGGAGCACACAGAGAGCACACAGGAGCACACGGACAGCACACACACACAGAGCACATGGGAGCACACGGACAGCACACAGAGAGCACATGGACAGCACATGGGAGCACACGTACAGTGCACAGAGAGCACACGGGAACACACGGGAGCACACAGCACACAGAGAGCACACGGACAGCACACGGGAGCACACGAGCAGCACACAGAGAGCACACAGGAGCACACAGGCAGCACACGGAGAGCACACGGGAGCACACAGACCGGGTGCAGGGCAGGCGCCAATCGGGGAGCAGTACTTACCTGGCTTGCCTGAGCAGTTTGCAAGCAAAGGGCAGAAGCAACAGAAAACGGAAGCAGAACATGGTCAGGCAGTTAGAGAAGCAGCCCGAGCGCCCCAATGCAGGCGGAGGCCCCTCGTCCTGAACCCCTACCCCCAGCCCACCCTCTGCGGGAGCACGTGGGGACAGCAGGATGGCGGACCGATGGAGCAGGAAGGGCCAGCCGGGGGTGGGTGGAGGCAGGGGATGGTGGAAGCTGGTTCAACTCAGGACACAACTCCACTCGCGCGGACCGGCCCGGCACTCGGACCCCTTCCCCTCCACGTCCACAGGAGGAAGAGATTTTTACGTCTTGTTCATCCTCACCAGGGCATTTTGGACTGGTTTTGTAAGAGGGAGGAAGGGAGGAGGAGACAGAGAGATTCATCCACTGGGGCCTCCCGCACGTGCCCGACCGGGCTGCGGATCAAGACTGTGATCGAGGTCTGTGTCCTTCACCAGAATTGAACCTGAGGCCCTTCGGAGTGTGGGGCGGCGCGCTGACCACTGGACCGCGGGCCAGGGTGGAAGATTACTTTTAAAACTGCTAATGTGGACCTAGGCCCGTGGTCGGCAAACTGCAGCTCGAGAGCCACACGCGGCTCTTTGGCCCCTTGAGTGTGGCTCTTCCACGAAATACCACGTGCGGGCACACACGTGCAGAGCAATTGAAACTTCGCGGCTCATGCGCAGAAGCCGTTGATATTTGGCTCTGTTGACTAATGAGTTTGTCGACCACTGACCTGAGCAAATAAATAAATAAACAGGACGCTACCCCCTCGAGGGGTGACCATTCGTATGAACACGGGCGTGGGGCTCTGCAGACCTCCCTCACGAAGGAAGACAGACCAGCCGTGTGCACGTCCCACCGGGCCGGGGGCCCTCGGCGGCCGAATCGCCAGCGGCTGCTGCCGGAGGCCGTGCTGGGGCGCCCGGGGCCGCGGCCGGCCCGGAGAGACAGTGCTCGTCAGAACCAGGCGCGCATCCCGAGGGGAGTCGCAGGCAGGCGGGCGGGCGGGCGGGGGCCACGGCTCCCCCAGCCCGTCTGGGCCCCGGGGAGGCCGAGGGGCGTTCTGCCAGGTGAGGCCACACACTTCGGGGTGTAGAGCCTGGACTCTCGCCGCTCCCAGGAGCAGAAGCTCCCAACACCCCAGGACCACCCGGCCCCCGGCCCCGGGAGGCGGGCCCCAGGCTGGTCAGGGGGAGGGGCGTCGGGCAGTGTGTCCAGGAGGCCCAGCCCCCAGCCCCCGGGGACGCCCGATGAGGGGCCCGGAGCCCCCCGGGCAGGACACCCACCTATCATCTGAGCGATGGTCTTCTCGTACTCGGCCACGATCTTCCTGCAGGAGAAGCACACGTGTGGGCACCGTGACGACAGCACGGCTTTCCCACGTCACACGGGGCCGCGTGCCGAACATCGGCCGCTGGACCGAGGACAGGCCTGGACCCGCCCCGGGCCCCTCCTCCCGCCCTCTCCATGCGCACCCCCAGCTCCCGGTCCCCGTGCTGATGCCGCTCACACCACGCCCCGGGCAAAGCCTTCAGGGTCTCCCCGCGCCCACGAAGAGAGACCTGAGGCCAGACCGTAGCCTGACCGCCCGCCGCCGGGCCCGGCTCCCCCTCTGACCGCCGGCCACGCCGGCTCCCAGCCCCGTGGCCCAGGGAGCAGAGTCTCCTCGGACCTCTGCCATGCTGTGCTGTGCGTTTCCCTCCTGCCTCCCCCTCCCAGCCTCCCGCTCCCCACGGCCTCCTCCGCCAGCAGCCCTCCTGGGCTTCTCCCCGGGACCATGGCGTCTATCTGACTGCCCAGGGCACGCTAAGCACACACGTGGCATGTTTGCATCAGGAACGGGAAACGCTGGGAGGGGCGTGGAGCAGGGGGCAGAGAGGGAATGGGGGGGGGGGGTTCCTCAGTGTGGACATCTGACGGCCCGGTGGCCTCCTGCCCGTGAGACTGAGCACCGGTGAGGCTGAGGGCGTGGGAGGGGACCGGCCGCGCCGCCCTGACCTGACCTCATCTCCATGACCTCGCGCCGGCTCTCCTCGTGCTTGGCCTTCCACTCGGAGACCTCCCTCTCCTTGGCGAGGACCTGGCACCGGGGAGAGAGGGAATGTGGGCCAGGGTGGAAGGAGGGCCCGAGCAGCGCCGGACGGACGCGGCCCAGCGCTCGGCATGGACTGCAGCGTCCGCCGCCAGTGACGGCGTCCGGAGCCCCCGGAGCGCCGAGCAGACTGAGGCCGGACCCGGGCGTCCGCACGCCCGCAGGGCGCAACCGGTCACAAAGCCAGCGGCCGGAAAGGGTCCTTACACACCGCGTGGAGCCGGCCGAGGGCTCGGGGTTGTGTTGACCTGGGAACCAGGAGGTCGGGGTTCGATTCCTGGTCAGTGACACAGGCCGGGGCTCCAGGCTCGATCCCCAGTGGGGGGCGTGCAGGAGGCAGCCGACCCATGATTCTCTCTCATCATGGATGTTCCTCTCTCTCTCTCTCTCTCTCTCTCCTCTCTCCCCTCCCTCCCTCCCTCTCCCTTCCTCTCTGACATCAATAAAATGTATTTGAAAAACAAAATGAGAGAAACAATCGCATCAAAAAGATCAAACCCCACAGCTTGCGCCTCCTGAGGCTGCAGTGTCAAAGGGGAAGTCGGGTCCAAAGCTGACGTGGGCACGTGTTTACTGACGGCGCCCGCCGCCTCCGCCTGCCGGCCCCAGCCTGGCCCCCCGCCGCCCCCGCCCCTGCCCCCCGCCGCCCCCCCCCGCCCCCGCCTGCCACCCCCGCCCACCTCCCCCGTACCTCCGCTCGGGCCCCCTGCAGCGCGGCGTCCAGGTCGGGCGGCGGGAACAGGAGGCTGGGCGCCTTCTCGGGCTCGGCGGGCGCCAGGCGGGAGTACAGGGCCGCTTTGGAGAGGGAGACCTCGGCCGGGTGCGCGGCTTCCCTCTGCGGACCGAGTGCAATGAAAACAAACGCTCAGTCAGTCCTGGGCCGGGCTCCGTCCACCAGGCACGGCCAGCCGGACGGTTTCCGAGCAGCACGTCCCGGGTGCGAGACGGCGCTGGGACTAGCGAGTGGGGCGCGGGCACAGCTGACGGAGACTTCCCGTGGCCCCCGCGGGCAGGCCGGTGCTGGGAGGCTCCGGCTCCCGGCCCGGAGCGAGCGGTCCGGTGGCCGCTGCCCGGCGATGTGTCAGGCGGGACGGAGGCCACGGGAGACCGAGGGCCCCGCCAGCGGCTCCGGGGCCGTGGGCACCCGGGGAGCGAGGCCGAGGCCCAGCGCAGGCGGCTGGCTGGAATGGAGGCAGGTCGGGTGTGTGTTGTGTTTTACCCTCGCCCGGGGGTATTTCTTAGGGAGAGAGAGGGACATCGATGGGAGAGAAACACATCGATGGGCTGCTCCTGCCCGTGCCCCGGCAGGGCTGGGGAGGAGCCATAATCTTGATACATGCCCGTGGCCGGAATGGAACCCTGGGCCCTTGGGTGGGCAGGCCGAAGCGCTATCCACTGAGCCACACCGGCCCGGTCATTTCTGTCCTCATTTTGTCTGGAATTTGTTCAGCTCCGCTGGGAAGCATGGGGTACTGAGCACCCGTGGCTCTCCCCCCTCCCCGGGCGGGTCACGTGGGAGCTGTGCTGTCTGGAGCCCGTGTGTCAGTGGGAACGCCCACACGGGCGGGTTAGACCTGGACCAGGGTGGTCCCTCTCCCTCCCCTTCACAGAATGCTCAGCCACTCCCCATAACACACGTGGAAAGCCGTGTTAGGAACACGCCCCCCCACGCAGCCAGAGGTCAGTCCAGCATCACTGCACACGGCACACCCGCCGCCCGCCCCGCTCCGTCCTGTCCGGTCCGCGGCCGAGTTGCCAGCCACCCCACCGCCACCCGGCCTGACGGAGCGGCGTCTGCCGGGTTCAGAAGGAGCTGAGCCGGAGCCGCCACCTCCGTGCGTGCGGGGCTGGAGGAGGACGGCTCAGGAAGAGCACCCAGGGGACTGTGCACAGCAGTGGAGAAGATGGCAGGGCCAGCGGCCACCAGCAGGGGGCGCCCTGCAGGACGGGGCAGCTTCCCTGGGTCTGGGCACAGGCCTGGGGCGCGGGGGAGTTTAATGGGGAGGAGCGGAGACCTGTTAGGCCCCCGAGAGGCGCACATGCAGGCGGGGACCCTGTGGTGAGGTGGTCCCCACAGTGAGCTCCGGCTGCTCACATCCTGCACACCCACTATGCGCAACAGCGCTCACATCCTGCACACCCACTGTACGCAACAACACTCATGTCCTGCACACCTACCATGTGAGCAGCTCTCACATTTAGCACACCTACTGTGCGCAGCAGCGCTCACACCCTGCACACCCACTGCGCGTAGCAGCGCTCACACCCTGCACACCCACTGCGCGCAGCAGCGCTCACGTCCTGCACACCTACCGTGTGAGCAGCTCTCACATCCTGCACACCCACTGCGCTCACGTCCTGCAAACCTACCGCGCGCAGCAGCGCTCACATCCTGCACACCTACTGTGCATAGCAGTGCTCACCCCCTGCACACCCACTGTGCACAGCAGCGCTCACGTCCTGCACACCTACTGTGTGCAGCAACGCTCACGTCCTGCACACCTACTGTGCACAGCAGTGCTCACCCCCTGCACACTCACTGCGTGCAGCAGTGCTCACGTCCTGCACACCTACTGTGTGAGCAGCACTCGCGTCCTGCACACCTACTGTGCGCAGCAGCGCTCACGTCCTGCACACCCACCGTGCACAGCAGCGCTCACGTCCTGCACACCTACTGTGTGCAGCAACGCTCACATCCTGCACACCTACTGTGCGCAGCAGCACTCACGTCCTGCACACCCACCGTGCACAGCAGCACTCACATCTGCACACCTACTGTGTGAGCAGTGCTCACACCCTGCACACCTACTGTGTGAGCAGCTCTCATGCCCTGCACACCCACCGCACGCAGCAGCGCTCACGTCCTGCACCCCCACTGTGTGCAGCAGCACTCACATCCTGCACAGCCTTGCGCACAGCAGCGCTCACACCCTGCACACCCTTGCCCACAGCAGCGCTCACATCCTGCACACCTACTGTGCACAGGCACAGCGCGGCTCTACACGTCACCTGCAGTCCTCACAGCAACCAGCAAACTCACCACGTCGGTCAGGGCGACCGGGCACACCGGGTCCAGCCTGGTCCCCACGTCGGGATCCCCGGCTGCCCGGCTGGGGTGGCCGAGCCTCCCAGGGCACACCCCTCTCACGGTCACCAGCGCCTCGCTCTGACGGTTAAGAACAAACGCCGGAAGCCAGGCAGACACCCCTGCATGCCCCGCCCGTGTCCTTCCGGCCCCGGAGGGCTCCCCACACGGAGTTAGGCCTCAGACACGTGCTCAGGCGTGTTCACGCACGCACAGGCATTGAGCATCTAGAAGACTCTACGTCGCCGAGCACCAGCCATGCCGGCCCGGCCGACGGTTAGCAGCAAGCGCTGGGGCCACACCATTCTGCAGGCAGCGGCGCGGCCGCCGGTACCTGAGCATCCTGGCGGCTGCGGGAGGCCAGCGCGATCTGCCGGGCCAGCTTCAGCGCCTCGATCCGCATGACGGCAAACTCCAGCTCCTCCTGCCGGAGGCCGGAGCGGGGTGAGCCGGCGCGGCTCCGGGGGGCGTGTGCCCGGGGAGGCGTGTGCCCGGGGAGGTGTGTGCACGGGGAGGCGTGTGCTCGGGGAGGCGTGTGCTCGGGGAGGCGTGTGCACGGGGAGGCGTGTGCCCGGGGAGGCGTGTGCCCGGGGAAGCGTGTGCCCAGGAAGGCGTGTGCCCGGGGAGGCGTGTGCCCGGGGAGGCATGTGCTCGGGGAGGCATGTGCCCGGGGAGGCGTGTGCTCGGGGAGGCGTGTGCACAGGGAATGATGTGCACGGGGAGGCGTGTGCCCGGGGAGGCGTGTGCCCGGGGAGGAGTGTGCCCAGGGAGGGCATGTGCTCAGGGAGGAGTGTGCCCGGGGAGGTGTGTGCCCGGGGAGGCGTGATCCCCGGGGAGGCGGGTGTGCCCGGGGAGGCATGTGTTTGGGGAGGCATGTGCACGGGGAAGGGTGTGCACGGGGAGGCGTGTGCCCGGGGAGGCGTGTGCCCGGGGAGGCGTGTGCTCGGGGAGGCATGTGCCCGGGGAGGCTTGTGTGCCTGGGGAGGCGTGTGCTCGAAGAGGCGTGTGTGCCCAGGAGGCGTGTGCTCAGGGAGGCGTGTGCTCCGGGAGGCATGTGCATGAGGAGGGGTGTGCACAGGGATGTGCATAGGGAGGCGTATGCATGGGGATGGCATGTGCTCGGGGGGCCGTGTGCACAGGGAGGCGTGTGCCCAGGGAGGGCATGTGCTCGGGAAGGGCGTGTGCCCTGGGAGGCGTGTGCATGGGGGGCCGTGTGCCTGGGAGCCGTGACGGGTGCTCGGGAGCCACCCTGGCTTCCACAGCAGATCATGAAACAGGGTTTAATTTCTCTTTTCTGAGATTATTATTATTAAAAAGACATACTTTTTTTTATTGATTTCAGAGAAAAAAAGAGAGAGAGAAATATCAACCACCATGGAGAACCATGGACCGGCTGCCTCCTGCACACCCCTCACTGGGGACGGAGCCCCAAACCCACGCCTGTGCCCTGACCGGGAATCGAACTGTGACCTCCTGGGTCACAGGTCAACGCTCAGCCCCTGGACCCCACGGCCGGGCTCCTTTTTTTGAAACCTGAGTATCACACATGTGAACGGGAAACGATTTTTTAAACAAAAACCAGCGTTTTCACTGCACCGTCCTCTCTGGTCTCTGTCCTTTCGATTCATTGCGTGGAGAGCTGGCTGATAGCGCCCTCCAGTGGACGGACAGCGCCTGTGCACAGCCTCCGTTTGGCTGGGCAGGGCCCGGAGTGAAGGTGCCAGTTAACGCACAGACGCGGCCGCTGTCCGGCTGCAGGGCAGGCCCAGCTCCGACGCCCTCCCTCGGGACTGAGCCGCCTGTGCACAGCGGCTGCACGCCTCACAGAGCACGTGGCTCTGGGGCCGACCGCAGCTGCTCTGGGGCCGTCAGAGCTCCTGAGAGACACGGCCGGCCTCCACACTGGGACATGCGGCCGGTTCCCCACAGTCAGTCACGCAGCCGCACCATCGCGGCGTCCCGGGTTCGAGCCCACACTCGTGGCCCCGCGGGGAGCGCCCCGTTCTCAGCGGCCACTCATTCACCCCCTCCCGGCGTCCGGGCCACCGAGGCCACGCTCCACGCGGTTTCCACGGCCCCCCACCTCTGGGCGTCCTGGCACCGAGGCCACGCTCCACGTGGTTTCCATGGACCCCCCCCTCCCCGCCCCCCTGGAGGCCCGGAGGCCGCCGAGGCCACGCTCCACGCGGTTTCCACGCCCCCCCACCTCCGGGCGTCCCGGCACCGAGGCCATGCTCCACGCGGTTTCCACGCCCCCCCACCTCTGGGCGTCCCGGCACCGAGGCCACGCTCCACCCGGTTTCCACGGACCCTCCCCCCCCGGAGGCCCGGAGGCCGCCGAGGCCACGCTCCACGCGGTTTCCATGGACCCTCCCCCCCCGGAGGCCACCGAGGCCACGCTCCACGTGGTTTCCACGGACCCTGCCCCCCCCGGAGGCCCGGAGGCCGCCCACCTGCAGCTTCTGAGCAAACACCGGGGGGTTCTTCTCCGCCAGGTCTGGCTCCAGGTAGTCGAGCGTGCCGCAGAGCGAGGCCGGGTCCGCCAGCCTGCTGAGCAGCGCGTCCGCCGAGGCAAAGGCACCCTCCGGAGCCGTCTGGGCCGGGGCGGGCAGGGGAGGGACGGGGAGAGAGAGGGGGAGAGAGACGGGGAGAGAGACAGCGAGAGAGACAGAGAGAGACGGGGAGAGAGACAGAGAGACAGAGAGATGGAGAGAGAGACAAGGAGAGAGACGGGGAGAGAGACAGCGAGAGAGACAGAGAGAGACGGGGAGAGAGACAGAGAGACAGAGAGATGGAGAGAGAGACAAGGAGAGAGACGGGGAGAGAGACAGCGAGAGAGACAGAGAGAGACGGGGAGAGAGACAGAGAGACGGGGAGAGAGGTGGAGAGAGAGACAGAGAGACGGGGAGAGAGACAGAGAGATGGAGAGAGATGGAGAGAGAGACAAGGAGAGAGACGAGGAGAGATGGGGAGAGAGATGGGGATAGAGGTGGAGAGAGAGACAGAGAGACGGGGAGAGAGACAGGGAGAGAGACGGGGAGAGAGACAGAGAGAGACAGAGAGAGACGGGGAGAGAGACAAGGAGAGAGACAGAGAGACAGAGAGATGGAGAGAGAGACAAGGAGAGAGACGGGGAGAGACAGGGAGAGAGGTGGGGAGAGACGGGGAGAGAGGTGGGGAGAAAGGCGAGAGACGAGGAGAGAGACGAGGAGAGAGACGGGGAGAGAGACGGGGAGAGAGACAGAGAGACGGGGAGAGAGGTGGGGAGAGAGGCGAGAGACGGGGAGAGAGACAAGGTGAGAGTGAGGCGACGCCGCCTGGACCGCACCCATGGGGACGTTTCTCCTAAAGGTTTGGGGGGGGGGGGTCAGCCAGCGGCCAATGGGTGTCTTGAGTGCCAGCCCAGCCCCCTCACACCGCCCTCACTCCCTAACTGGTCCGTGTGTGTGTGTGTGGAGGGGAGGGGTAACCATTTTCTCATTTGTCTGAGAAGTTCGGGAGCAGGGACAAGCCAGGGGGAGGGGTTCCCAGGAGTCAGTCGTGAGGAACGCCCTCCATTGGGACGATGGAAAGAAGTGGAGTTCCGGGGAGAGGTTTCCCACGGAGAGAGCACCCTCCCCCGAGGACCAGAAGGAGCCGGAATCAGGAGCGGCTCTGCAGGCACAGGCCCGGGCACACCCAGGCTCGCAGCTCAGCCTATTTGACTGACGCGCAGCAGGTGCTCAGTAGACTCAGTGGTTTCCTACATGAAACAGAACACAAGCCACGCCGATGGCCCAAGCCCCTGGCGGGTGGCTGGGAGGGCGGTGAAAGCAGTAAGATCCACCTCGGAGACGGTGCGAAGGGGGGTGAGGGGCTGAGCACAGGCCCTCCTGGTCTATGGGCAGCAGGCTCCCTGCCCAAAGGGGCTCCGGAGGCGGATCAATAGCCCCAAAGGCAAACAGAGCGGGTGGTGGGCAGGGCCCTGGTTGGGGGGCTCCTGGGCTGGCTTCTGGGGGGAGCGGACAGGTGGGGCGCACGTGGGCGCAGGTGAGTGCTGCTCGGAGCCTGGCCCCGGGTGCTGGGGTCCCGCTGGCCCGGCCTCAGCCCCAGGGGTCCCGGCCCCTCGGCCCACGTACCATCTCGATCCCCTCGGCGGTGGGGCCCATGGCCCTGGCCTCCAGCTCCTTCTGTGGGGGCTTCTCCGGGCCGGGGGCCAGCCCGCGGGAGGCCGGCGGGGGGCCCTTCGCCCCCGCGGTCACCAGCGCCTCCGCCTCCTCGAAGCTCGGAGACCTGAGGAGGCAAAGGCACTTGTCTTCTCGCTGCAAACCCCCCGGACAGCGGGTGCCGGCTGCCCTCCGTCGGCACCCGGGGCCCTGGGTGTCCAGGCTGCAGCCAGAGGGGCCTGTGGGCGGGACGGTCTGGGGGGCTCAGCCCACACCGGCCCCCACGAGGGAGGAGGGGCCCAGCTGCCCTGGCTCAGCGCAGGAGCCGTGGCCTGAGGGGACGGGGCTGTGCAGGCCGTGGTCCGGTCTCCGCTCTGCGGGCGCAGGCAGTGGCTGGGCGGCGGGGAGAGGCGCCTGCAGGTAAAACACCTGACCGGCCAGCACAGCGCGCCCTCGGGGCAGAGCCTGGGTCTCAGAGGGAGCAGAGCCTCCGTCCCGGCCACGGGCTCCGGGGGGCGCCATCCACAGGCCTCAGGTCGCTGTCAGTCCGCCAGGGCCCAGGCTGTGGGGACCCCCGGCAGGGGACGGGCAGGAGGCAGCCAGTCCGTGTTTCTCTCTCCGGCGGGAGGCCCCCACGGCCCAGCACCAGCCCAGCACCCGGCCCCCACGGCCCAGCACCGGCCTAGCACCCGGCCCAGCACCAGCCCAGCACCCGGCCCCCACGGCCCAGCACCTGGCCCAGCACCCGGCCCCCACGCCCCAGCACCCGGCCCAGCACCGGCCCAGCAGCCGGCCCAGCACCCGGCCCAGCACCCGGCCCAGCACCGGCCCAGCACCCGGCCCAGCACCGGCCCAGCACCCGGCCCAGCACCGGTCCAGCACCGGCCCAGCATCCGGCGGACAGAGGCGGACAGTCACGCCCACAGGCACCGTCAGTGCTGCCCCCTCGGTGCCCCCAGCCGACAGTGCTTCCTGTTCACGCCTCCTGGAGGCGCCGCACCCCACTGCACTGCGGGGAGCACCGGGCGCCCCGCTGAACCCCGGATCCCCACGGGGTGGGGCGCGGTGACTCCCCGTGGCACGGAGGCCCGTGCTCTGTGCGAGGTCCGCAGCCACGAGGGGCGGGTGGGACGCGGCTCCCAGGCTGTACCCACGGGACAATGACAGCGGCCGTGGGAGCACAGGGCGCTCAGAGGGCCCCCACCCCGCCACCAGGGGGCCTGCTCCACCCGCAGGGCGGCAGCAGCAAGCCCGCCCGCCGTGCTGCGTCCGTGTGGACACGTGAGTGCCGGGAGGCAGAGCTGTGCCTGTCCGTCACCTCCCATCAGGGTCACCCCCCACGGGGTCACCTCCCCACGGGGCCACCCCCCACAGGGTCACTCCCCCACGGGGCCACCCCCCACAGTGTCACCCCCCCACGGGGTCACCTCCCCACGGGGCCACCCCCCACGGGCAGCGTACCCCGAGCACGGCGTGGGGGACTCGGACGTCCGGGTGGGCGGGGACCGGACGGGGCTCCCCTGTGTTGTGTCGAACATGAGGTAGAGGGCCTGCTTCTTCGGAGCGTCGTCCTCCTGGGGGGCAAAGCCGAGGGTCAGCTCGGCCACCGCGGGCCGGCCCTCAGAGGACGGCGGGGCGTCCCAGGAGCACAGGGCTCAGCGGGAGGAGCCTCCGGCCCCTCTTCCCCCTCCTCCCCTCCTCCCCCTCCCCCTCCTTCCCTCCTCTTCTTCTTCCCCTCCTCCCTCTCCTCCCCCTCCTCTCCCTTCTTCCCTCCTCCCTCTCCTCCCCCTCCTTCCCTTCTCCCCTCCGTCCTCTCCTCTCTCCTCCTCTCCTCCCCCTCCCCCTTCTTCCCTCCTCCCTCTTCTCCCCCTCCTCCCCCTCTTCCCCCTCCTCTCCCTCCTTCCCTCCCTCCCCTCCTCCCAGGGGGAGGAGCTGCTGTGCTGGCTCTGAGGTGTGTGGCGGGCACAACCACATGCAGGTGGGGACACTTGTTAACTATGCACTTTTATTTGTTTACTATTTTAAATGTGTATTTCTTACTGATTCCAGAGAGGAAGGGGAGAGAGAAACATCAGTGATTAGAGAGTCACTGATCGGCTGCCTCCTGCACCCCACCCAGGTGAGGAAGCCCACCACCGGGAGCTGCGGGCACTGGGAGCTGCGGGCATCGGGAGCTGGCTCTGAGGTCTGGGTCCCAGGGCGCTGGGACCGGAGGGGCCGGCTGTGTGGTCAGGAGCTGGGGAAGCGCCCGCCCGCCTCCCGCCCGCCGCCCGCCGCCCGCCTGCCGCCGCCGCCCGCCGCCCGCCCGCCACCCTCCTGCAGCCGAGGCAGGAGCACTCACGGGCAGGGAGGAGCCGATCTTCTCCATGTACTCGATCTCGTAGGCGTTCCTGTAGTCCAGCTCTGCGGGGAGATGGGGTCAGCGCCGGGAGGGACAGGGAGAGGGGCAGGGGCAGGGGCAGGGGCAGGGGCAGGGCAGGGCGGGGCAGGCCCAGAGCAGGAGGGCTTTTTGCTGCTCAGAGAGAGGACGAGGCGACATGACGGCTCAGACCCCCGCGGGCAGGAGTTTCAGAGGTGACACCCCTGCCCAAGGCCTCAGCATTTTTCACATGAAAACAGGCATAAGTAGCCGTTCTGGGGTAGAGTGCCTGTTTCTACTTATTGTGGAAGCCACTGACTCCTACATGAGCTTTAAAATAAGATGTTCCAGTTGGGCAGGCTGACCTGGACCCAGGAGTCACCGTCTGATTCCCGGTCAGGGCACAGGTCCAGGCTGTGGGCTCCATCCCCAGGAGGGGGCGTGCAGGAGGCGACTGATCCACGGTTCTCTCTCATCATGGATGTGTCTCTCTCCCTTCCTCTCTCTAATAACAAATCAATGATCAAGCCACCCCCGGGCCTGCGCCCTGACTGACCGGGAATCGAACCCTGACCGCCGGTTCACAGGTGGACGCTCGGCACGGAGCCCTCCGCGGGGTTCCTGGCTGTCGGTCCCCGGGCGGGGCCCCGTGCTCACCCTCGGAGGGGGAGCTGAACTTGGTCTCGTTGACGAAGGAGGACAGGTCCGAGGGCTGCGGGAAGTCCTGCTTGTCCGCCTCCAGCTCCACCGTCATGCACGCCCACTTCTGGCTGGTGACCGCCAGCTTCTCCTCGTCCGTGGCGTGGACCACGCCGGCGATCACGGGCGGCGCCTCCGGCGTGGCCGCGGGGGTGGGGTCCTGCGAGGAGGGGAGCCGTCTCTCCTCTCGTCCGGGGTCCGCGCCCGATACCGCCCACCCCGTCCGGCCCTGTCTGGCCCACGAGGAGGGCGGCGGTGCCCGTGTCCCCGGGGCACCGCTCTGTCCCGGATAAGGTTCCTTTCCTGGGGGTCGCCGGGGGCCGGGCTTAGGAACTTGGGGGGTGTGGTTACTGGGTGTCTGGGTTACTGAGAGCTTCCTGCTCCTGCATGGAGCAAAGGACTTTTATTCCAGTGATTTCTCTGCTGTGAGGCCTGACAATCCTCCACCTGCCGGTGGGGACAGAGGAAGGGCTGGCCTCCCTGCCTGCAGGGGGTGCCGCTGAGCAGGAGGCAGAGCCAGGCTGGGACCCGAGCCACTGTCCAGGCCCTCTCTTTCTGCAGCCCGCCCGGCAGGGGACTGTTTTAGGACTGAAAGGCCTGGCACCCCCCCGGAGGGAGGACAAGCTGCCCGGACGGTGACCTGGAGCAGAGCAGACGTGGTGGGTGCTGGGGGCGGAACTAGTGAGCAGGAGCCGGGCCTTGGGCGGGAGACAGTTTTCTCTACCTCCCACTGGACGTGGGTTCAAACTACGGGGCTCCTGCCCGGCCTCGGGGCTCAGAGGCTGAGCGTTGGCCTGCGAACCAGGAGGTCAGGGTTCGATTCCCAGTCAGGGCTCAGGCCCAGGTTTCGGGCTCCGTCCCCAGTGAGGCGTGTGCAGGAGACAGCCGGTCCAGGGTTCTCTCTCATCACTGACACCTCTCTCTCTCTCTCTCTCTTCCTCTTCCTTCTCTGAAACCAATAAAATAAAAAGTAAAAACTCCGGTGCTTGCACACACGCCCAGTGCCTGCCTCTGTAACCCTTTGTCTCACAGGCTCCCTGGCCGTGACACCCACTCACTCTCAGCAAATGGCCGGGTCCGAGGGCCGGCGGGGGAGGGGGGTCCCCCAGGGGTCCGAGAGGCGGGTGGCCGCGGCTCTAGAGGGTCCCCGACATCGCCCTGAACATCCTGCTCCTCTGGGCACACCCGGCCCCACAGGAGGGCACCCGGCCCCACAGGGAGGGCACCCGGCCCCACAGGGAGGGCACCCGGCCCCACAGGGAGGGCACCCGGCCCCACAGGGAGGGCACCCAGTCCCCACAGGGAGGGCACCCGGGGGAGGCGGGGAGGGACCCCGGCCTCCCCCGGCGAGCGGTCACCCCACACGCCAGGGACACGTACCTGAGAGGGGGGGTCCGAGAGGGGGGACCGCTTTGGCGACTTCTTCACCCTAAACGTGTCACTGGAAACGGAAGGGGAAACGTGAACACAACCGGGTCCAGAACCTTCCGAACACAGAGCAGACCGAAGCCCCCGCCTCTGCTGAGCGTCTGCCGGGACCCCCTGCGCCCCCAGCAGGTGTGACCGAGGCCGGGAGGCTCCGGGGCCGGACTCACAGAGGGCATGGGGCGCTGACCCCTGTTCTGACTCCCCCTAAGAGCCCGTCTGGGCGCGCAGGTCCGGGCCTGGGCCCCACCCCCGTCCGAGCCCGGCACCCGGGGTGCAAGGTCCTGACCCGGGACGGGAGCCCCCGCCAGCAGGTTGGCCGTCACCGAATGGACCTGCCGGTTTGGGGGAGGGGGCCTGGGTTTGGGGGAGAGCTGGCAGGCTCCCCGGCAGGGCAGGGGAGGTCATTCTATAATTCTGGTGAAAACACACGGTCGGACACTGTGCCCGGAACCGTCTCCAGCTGTGCAGTCCCGAGCGCTAAGTGGAGGCAGCGTGGGGGGGAGGCGCCAAGGGAGCACCGGGGAGACTCCGGAAGGGTCAGAGGTGAGCACAGAGGGGTCCCCGCAGTCCCTGTGCTCAGAATGGAGGCTCTCCTCCTGGCCTCAGGTCCTGCCCCAGGCAACACATCCTTAGATCTCACCCCCACCCGGTCAGCCTGTGGGCAGAACCTGGCACCCAGCTCCTCCCTTCTCCCACGGTGGCACCCACTCAGGGAAACACTAGGATGGTCATTGCAGCAGCGATGCGTTGCAAAGCGCACAGTGGGGCCACAGCTGAAGCGTCCAGCTGTCCATGCACACAGACACGTTAACTTATGGTTTTCACGTTGCTACGTGGCTCTAAGTCCTAAACCTCCCTGGGGTGGCAGAGAGCCGGGGACTCCGGCCCTGGGGGCTGCCCTCGCCTGGGCTGGGCCCCCATGGGGACAGGGAGGAGAAGGCCAGGTCTCCGTGGGGACGGGGGGCGGGAAGGCCAGGTCCCCGTGGGGGCAGGGAGCCAGAAGGCCAGGTTCCCGTGGGGACAGGGGGGCAGGAAGGCCAGGTCCCCGTGGGGACAGGGGGCGGGAAGGCCAGGTCCCCGTGGGGACAGGGAGCCAGAAGGCCAGGTCCCCGTGGGGACAGGGAGGAGAAGGCCAGGTCTCCGTGGGGACGGGGGGCGGGAAGGCCAGGTCCCGGGGGGGCAGGGAGGCGGGAAGGTGCTGCCTGGGCCCTGGGAGCCGCCCACAGGACCCTCCTGGCCGGGAGGCAAAGCAGCAGAGGCCTGGGCGGTCTGCTCCGGTCCCCGCCACCCCCCGCAGGACCGCGACCCCAGGCGCATGCTGACCCCGGCCGGCCCTGAGCAGCGGTGTGACCCGTCAGCCCCGGGCCCCGCCCCTCCCGCAGGCCCCTTTCGGAAAAGCCCCACATTCTGCTCCGTGTCCCAGGACGAGCGCAGCCGCTGTGGGGGCCCGGTCGGATGTCACCGTGAAGGCCCAGAACTGAGGAAGCGATGGCCCCGCCACGTGAAACCAGGAGCGAGGGGGCAGGAGAGAGGAGAGAGGGGAGCGGGAGTGAGGAGAGAGGGGAGCGGGAGTGAGGGGGCAGGAGAGAGGAGAAAGGGGAGCGGGAGTGAGGGGGCAGGAGAGAGGAGAGAGGGGAGCAGGAGTGAGGGGGCAGGAGAGAGGGGAGCGGGAGTGAGGGGGCAGGAGAGAGGGGAGAGGGGAGCGGGAGTGAGGGGAGCAGGAGTGAGGGGAGCGGGAGTGAGGGGAGCGGGAGTGAGGGGGCAGGAGAGAGGGGCAGGAGAGAGGGGAGCGGGAGTGAGGGGGCAGGAGAGAGGGGCAGGAGAGAGGGGAGCGGGAGTGAGGGGGCAGGAGAGAGGAGAGAGGGGAGCGGGAGCGAGGGGGCAGGAGAGAGGAGAGAGGGGAGCGGGAGTGAGGGGGCAGGAGAGAGGAGAGAGGGGAGCGGGAGCGAGGGGGCAGGAGAGAGGAGAGAGGGGAGCGGGAGTGAGGGGAGCAGGAGTGAGGGGAGCGGGAGTGAGGGGAGAGGGAGTGAGGGGAGCGGGAGTGAGGGGGCAGGAGAGAGGAGAGAGGGGGCAGGAGTGAGGGGGCAGGAGAGAGGAGAGAGGGGAGCGGGAGTGAGGGGGCAGGAGAGAGGAGAGAGGGGAGCAGGAGTGAGGGGGCAGGAGAGAGGGGCAGGAGAGAGGGGAGCGGGAGCGAGGGGGCAGGAGAGAGGAGAGAGGGGAGCGGGAGTGAGGGGGCAGGAGAGAGGGGAGCGGGAATGAGGGGGGGCGGGAAGGAGGGGGCAGGAGTGAGGGGGCAGGAGTGAGGGGGCAGGAGAGAGGGGCAGGAGAGAGGGGAGCGGGAGTGAGGGGGCAGGAGTGAGGGGAGCGGGAGTGAGGGGGCAGGAGTGAGGGGAGCGGGAGTGAGGGGGCAGGAGTGAGGGGGGCGGGAAGGAGGGGGGCGGGAAGGAGGGGGCAGGAGTGAGGGGGCAGGAGTGAGGGGTGTGAAATGCGTGGGGCTGGGGCAGGCGACCGGCGAACAAGGAGAAGGAGCCTGTTCCCGGCTGGCAGGCGGGCGGGCGGGCAGACCGGGGTCGCCTGTCCACGGCCACGCCCAGTGTGGAGACACGGACCCACCAAACATGGCCCCCCACGTAAAACACGGAGCGTGCAGCGGCAGCCGGGGGAGCAGGCGGAGCGTGCGGTGGACACGAGGCGAGCAGCCCGAGGCGCAGGCAGAGGCGAGACGGTTACTTACAACAGAGAACACACAGACATCACGTCTTCAACCATCCTGAGACGGGGGCAGAGAGACAGACAGGCACTGACACGCATCGGCTGCGGCCGGCCGCGGGTGCTGGGGGCGGGCGCTGGCCGGAGAGGGACCCCGAGACCCCCCGCCGAGGGCTCTGCCAGGGCCTGGTCCCCGGGCCCCCAGCCACCTGCCCCAGAGCTCTGATGACGGAAGGGGGGAGGCGAAACCTGAGGAGGAGGGTGCCTGAGAGGAGGGGTGTCTGAGGAGGGGGTACCCACAATATGGCTCTCCAGCCAAAGGTGACAGAACGAGTCTGCAGCCTGAGAGCTCTCTTGTTTGGAGCTTAAAATTAAGCTTCTGCCCTGGCCAGTGTGTCTCAGTGGGTAGAGTGTCGGCCTGTGGACTGAAGGGTCCCGGGTCCGATTCCAGCCAAGGGCAGGTACCTCAATGGCAGGCTCGATCCCTGGGCCTGGTCTGGGCGCATGCAGGAGGCAACCAATTGCTGTGTCTCTCACATCGAAGTCTCTCTCACTATGTCTCTCCCTCCTGTCCACTCGCTAAGAATCGGTAAGAAAGTATCCTCGGGTGAGGATAGCAAATCAATAGTAAAGCTTCTGACGGGCTCCATGGAGCGTCTGGCAAAAGCCTGTGGGGGAACTGCTGGGGGAGCACCGGCAGGAGCGGGGACCCCAGGCCACAGCCCGAGGCGTCTCCTCAGGGAGTGGCTGCTCTGTGGCCAGGTGCCCGCGGGCCAGACGGGGCCAGGGACGCGCTCTGACCCGGGCGCCAGCAGCCGCGGCCGCCCCGTGGCCTCCAGGGCCTGGAGCCGCCAGACGCCTCGCAGGAGAGCAAGGTATTAGGGCGATGCTAGCTTCACGAAGGAGTTTGGAAGTGTTCCTTCCTCTTGAATTTTTTGGAACAGTCTGAGGAGGATCGGTTTTAGTTCTTCCTTGAATATTTGGTAAGAGAGCAAGGAACCAGGCCCTAATCCGGCACCAGCACAGCCCAGGCCCTCGGACGGGTGGGAACGCGTGCGAGGTAGGATGGGCAGGTCCTCTGCCCACACATGTGTGCGGCCCCGGGCCCACGGCCCCCGGATCCCGGGCCCCACGGGCCCCAGGCCGAGCGGAGGCGGCTCTGCTCCCCCTGACCCCCCAGCCCCATGGCTCCCGGCCCCACGGCCCACGGCCCCCGAATCCCGGACCCCACGGGCCCCAGGGCGAGCGGAGGCGGCTCTGCTCCCCCCGGCCCCACAGCCCCCAGCTTCATGGCCCCCCGGCCCCCGGGCCCACAGCCCCCGGCCCCCCGGCTCTCGGCCCCCCGGCCCCCTGATCCCTGACCCCACGGCCCCCGGATCCCGGGCCCCACGGGCCCCAGGCCGAGTGGAGGCGGCTCTGCTCTGCCAGGCCCCACGGCTCCTCTGGGTGCAGGCCTGCGGCTGCGTCTGCCAATGCCACCAGGAGTCGGTGCAGACACAGGCCTTTCCTGGTGAAGGGGGCTCACCGTGCTGGCCCCTGGCCTTCCCTCGGGAGGGGCAGAGACGCCCTGACTCTAACGGGATCTAAAGGGCCTCTCTCCTAGCTCCGAGGCCACCAAAAAACACCCCGCTCACGGGTTACATGGAAAGACCCACAGGACAGTGCCCTCTGGGGGACCCCAGCACCCCCCGCCCCCGGAGCTGGAAGGAAAGCTGTGGACACTGACTATTCAGGCAACGAACCGAGGACTCTCTCCCCACCGGCCTGGCTCAGCGGCTGAGCATCGGCCTAGGAACCAGGAGGTCATGGTTGGATGTCCGGTCAGGCACAGGGCCGGGGTGTGGGCTCCGTGCCCAGTGTGGGGCGTGCAGGAGGCAGCTGAGCCATGACTCTCTCATCGTGGATGCTGCTCTCTCTCTCCCTCTCCTTTCTCTCTTAAATCAATAAAAATATAAGAAGAAAAAAAAAGATGGAGGACTTTGGACTCTCGATCCAAAGGGCACAAGGGTGGGGACATGTCAGGTCACGTCTGGCGCCAGCATGTTAGACGTGGGAGGGGGAGGCAGCTCAGGTGACTGAGCACGTCACCACCCCGCCCGCCGCCCCCGCCGCCCGCCGCCCCCGCCGCCTGCCGCCCGCTGCCCCCTCCGCCCGCCTCCTCCGCCCGCCCTCCGTCCGCCGCCTCCTCCGCCCGCCGCCCGCACTTACGTCTTGAGCGGCGCCTTCTTCTTCTTGGCCGGCTTGCCCGCCCCGTCGCCGTCGGCGTGGCCGTCGGGGGCGCCCACGGGGATCTCGAAGGAGGCGGGGGCCTGGGCGGGCGAGCCGGGCGCGGGGCCGGGCTCGGCGGGCTCGCCGCGGGCCTCGGGCGGGAAGCCGAAGGCGGCGGGCGGCGGCAGCTTGGGCGACGCCTGCATCTTGGAGGCGGAGGAGAAGGGGTTGAAGTCGGGGTCGTCCCACTTGTCGGCGTCGAAGCTGTAGGCGCCCCGGGCGGCCGGGGCGTCGCCGGGCTCGGCGGGCGGCCGGGGGGGCGCGGCGGGGGCGTCGCCGGGCTCGGGGCCCTTCTTCGCCTTCGGCCGCCGCAGGGGCATCCTGGCCCCCGGCTTCCGGCCCGGCTTCCTGGCGGCGGCCGCCTCGGGCCCGCCGTCCTCCGAGTAGTCGAACTCCAGCCGCACCCCCCCTCTGGCCGGGGCGTCCTCGGGGGGCCCGCTCTCTGCCAGGGTCACCCCCGCCGCCTCGGGGGCCGGAGCCGGGGCCGCCTTCCTGCCGGTGGGGGGTGAGTTCTGCACGCTGCCCCCTGCAGGGGGGGCGGCCCCGTCCGTGCCCGCCGTGTCCGTGCCTGCCGTGTCCGTGCCCACCGTGTCTGCCGTGTCCGTGCCTGCCGTGTCCGTGCCCGCCGTGTCCGTGCCCGCCGTGTCTGCGGGGCCGGCGGCCGGGTGCAGGGCGGCGGGCTCCAGCGGGGCCTCCTCGGCGGGGGCGGGGGCGGGGGCCTCCGGGGGCGCCGGCTCCCTGTGGGTCCCGGGGGGCCCGCTCTCCTCGCCGGGCCCGGGGCCCTCCTCGGCCGGCGGGGCCTCGGGCACGGGGGGCGCCTCGGGGGGCCTCTTCGGGGGCTGCTTCCTCCTCAGGGACGGCGGCCGCGGCCTCTTCGTCCGCTTGAGGGACCCGCAGTCGCTGCTGGCCTCGGGGGCGGCGGCCTCGGTGTCGGCGTCGGCCGGGCCGGCAGCACCATCGAGGTCCCCGGCCTGCAGGCTGAGGGAGCGGGGCAGCGCGGCCCGGGCGGGGGGCCCGGGGCCCGGGGCCCTCCTCTGCGCGCCCGGGGGGCCCTCCGAGGCCGTGGGGTCCGAGGGCCGGGGCTCCACCAGCTCGATGCTGTCGAAGTCCAGGTTGTAGGCACCGCTGCTGGCTATGGGCTTGTCCTCGTCGAAGACGGCAGAGCAGGAGTGGGCGGGCGGCCGCAGCGGGCTGCCGTCCACGGGGAGCACGCTCGGGGGGCCATCGGGGCCGGGGGCCGGCTCCCCGCCGCCTGCGGACACGGACAGAGCAGCCCTGGAGGGCGCGGCACGGGACAGGCCCTTCTCCGCCCACGATCGCCCCACGGCAGAGCCCGCCGGCCGGCCCACCGGGCACAGCACCCGCCGCCGGGCCGGCCCCTCCTCTGTAAGCAGGACGGTGGCAGGTTACCGGGCAGCCGGACCCCTCACTCAGCCCAGCATTCACGGAGCCCCCAGCCGGACCCGGACCCGGCACCGTGCTGGCTGCTGGGCCCTCGCCAAGAAACCAAACCAGCAAAACCCTGTGCTCCTGGGAGTCCCGCTTCTCAGGGAGAAGACGGGCAAGAAGCAATCAAACAGCCCGGCCCGGCGGCTCAGTGGTGAGCGCTGACCTAGGACCCAGGAGGTCAGGGTTCCATTCCTGCTGGGCACAGGCCTGGGTTGCAGGCTCCATCCCCAGTGTGGGGTGTGCAGGGGGCAGCCGACCCATGATTCTCTCTCCTCACTGATGTCTCTCTCTCCCCCTCTCTCACTAAAACTCAATGAAAAAAAATTTTTTTTTTAAATTAGCATCTCAGATAAGCGAATAAAGTTATTCGCAGAAATATGTGCCAGCTCCCAACTCCTGGTTGCTTCTCTGAGATCCTGTGTTTTCATTCACGGAGTCTGGCTCCTGTGCGCCCCCTACTGGCATGTGCCCCGACCTGGAATCGAACCACCTGGTTCATGGGCTGCTGCTCCACCACGGAGCCACATGGGCTGGGCTGGCACGGAGCCACGCTCAGCCACGGAGCCACTGGGCTGGGCTGGCACAGGGCAGGGCAGAGGCGTGGGGTATGTGAGGGGAACCCCGTCCTCCTCCGTCCACAGAGCGCACACGCCGGCTGGGCCCGGTGCGCGGACAGCTGTTGTGTGAGGACAGACCAGTCTGTACTCACACCCACGGTCTCCCTAGTGTTCTGTGTTTTGGCCCCTTCAGCAGAGGCTGTGGGGGAAGCCGCGGGCCTTTCCTGCTGGCCTTCCTTCCCGGCTCCTGGGGCGGGGGGGGCGGGGGCCACCTCCTCCTCCACCCCTTGGCCGGCAGGCGCCCTCCCGCCGTGCTGGCCTCGCTGTGGGCGGCGGGCACGGGCTGGGCCTCCAGCGACAGAACCCCAACCCGGGGTGTTCCCCCCGACGCTCTGCCCACCGGCTTCCCCGGGAGCAGCTCAGTCCGATCCGGGGCTCCCAGTGTCAGAACACACCGACCCCCGGACCCGGAAGGTCCTGTCCCTCCCGTCAGGGCACAGGCCTGGTGCCGGCTCCGTCCCCAGTGGGGCGGGTGGGCAGGAGGCAGCCCAGCGCTGTATCTCCTCATCGATGTTTCTCTCCCCTCCCTCTCCCTCCCCCTCTCTCTAAATCAATAATGTGTTTTAAAGGAGCCTGCAGTCACTGGGCCTGCAGACCAGCTTTTACAGAACAAAGAGCGGAATCCGAGACGCCCCACTCGGCCGATTCCGGGGGCAGGGGAAGCCGGTGACAGGCACCCAGGGGCCCCCACCCCCTGCAGGACCCGCTCCCGAGCTCCTCACACCCCCTCACCCCCCAGCCCAGCGGCCCCCGCACCCCGAGCCCCCGCAGGAGCCCCTGCGCCTCCCTGGGGCGGCCCCGCGTACCTGGTTCCTCCGGGGAGGGGGGCGCGCTGGCCTCGGGCTCCGGGGCGACCTCGGGGGGCGGCGGGGGCGGGGCTGGGGGGGCTTTGACGGGGGTCGTGGACTCCGGGGTCTCAAAGGCTTCCTCCGAGTCAGAGCTCCTGGCGGAGAGAGGGGCCCGGTCAGGCCGGCGGGCGGGCAGGGGCCGGGCGGGGGCGGCTCTGGGCCCCGGGGCCCGGCCCCCTGCCAGCTCCACGCTGGACGTTCATGAGGAAGGCGCTGTGTGCGTGCTGCCTGTGAGGGTCCCCCCTCCGAGGACCAGCCGCGCACACCCCACCAGGACCCCAACCCGCGGAGCAGAAGCATCAGAGCGGCCGTGGGCGGGACCCCAAGAGCTGAGCCTGCCAACTATGGGACCTGGAGGCCCAGCCCTCATTCACCAGCCCCGACGGCCCACAGCGCCCCCTACTGACGGGTCCACGGCGCCCCCCACGGACAGCCCACGGCGCCCCCCACGGATGGCCCACAGCGCCCCCTACTGACGGGTCCACGGCGCCCCCCACGGACGGCCCACAGCGCCCCCCACTGACAGGTCCACGGCGAACCCCACAGACGGCCCACAGCGCCCCCTACTGACGGGTCCACGGCACCCCCCACGGATGGCCCACGGCGCCCCCTACTGACAGGTCCACGGCGTCCCCCACAGACGGCCCACAGTGCCCCCTACTGACAGGTCCACAGCGCCCGCTACTGACAGGCCCACGGTGTCCCCCACAGACAGCCCACAGCGCCCCCCACTGACAGGCCCACGGCGCCCCTCACGGCCCACAGCACCCCCTACTGACGGGTCCACGGCGCCCCCCACGGACGGCCCACGGCGCCCCCCATGGACGGCCCACAGCGCCCCCTACTGACAGGTCCACGGTGTCCCCCACGGACGGCCCACGGCGCCCCCCACGGACGGCCCACAGCGCCCCCTACTGACGGGTCCACAGCGCCCCCCACGGATGGCCCACAGCGCCCCCCACTGACAGGCCCACGGCGCCCCCCACGGACGGCCCATGGCGCCCCCCACGGACAGCCCACAGCGCCTCCTACTGACGGGTCCACAGCACCCCCCACGGATGGCCCACAGCGCCCCCCACTGACAGGCCCACGGCGCCCCCCACGGACGGCCCACAGCGCCCCCTACTGACGGGTCCACAGCGCCCCCCACGGATGGCCCACAGCGCCCCCTGCAGACGGACGCCATCGGGCTGGCTGTGGCGACCGCAGGGTCCAGGCGCCGCGTGTGCGTGTCTGCGCCCCGGGCTGGCACACAGGGCGGCGGCGGGCGGAGCGGGGAGGAGGGAGCGTACGGCCCGCACCGCACACATCAGGGAAGTGACGGAGCCGGCCTCCTCCCCCAGGGCCTCCTCGGAGTCCCCGCGGCCCCGCCACCGCCCCGCCACCGCCCCCAGCCAGGCCACGGGCCGCGGAATCATCCCACAGAGCCGCTCAGCAGTGTCACCCCAACGTCCCCTAATTCCCCCGCCTCCCGGGAGCAGGGACGCTGCCGTCCGCCCCGCAGCAGCCCCCCAGCGCCCCACGGCCGCCCCTCAGCCGCCTCTCAGCCGCCCTACGGCCGCCCCTCAGCCGCCCCCACGGCCGCCCCCCAGCCGCCCCATGGCCGCCCCTCAGCCGCCCCTCAGCCGCCCCCACAGCCGCCCCTCAGCCGTCCCCACGGCCGCCCCTCGGCCGCCCCCACAGCCGCCCCTCGGCCGCCCCCCGGCTGCCCCTCGGCCGCCCCTCAGGCGCCCCCTCAGCCGCCCCACAGCCGCCCCCACGGCCGCCCCTCAGGCGCCCCCACAGCCGCCCCTCAGCCGCCCCACAGCCGCCCCTCGGCCGCCCCTCAGGCGCCCCCACGGCCGCCCCTCAGGCGCCCCCACAGCCGCCCCTCGGCCGCCCCTCAGCCGCCCTTCGGCCGCCCCTCAGCTGGGACAAGGGAGAGCTCTCCCGCCCCTCAGCCGTCCCACGGCCGCCCCTCAGCCGCCCCATGGCCGCCCCTCAGCCGCCCCCACAGCCGCCCCTCAGCCGCCCCACGGTCGCCCCTCAGCCGCCCCCCCAGCCGCCCCACGGCCACCCCCTCAGCCGGCACAGGACAAGGGAGAGCTCTCCCGCCCCTCAGCCGCCCCACGGCCGCCCCTCAGCCGCCCCACGGCCGCCCCTCAGCCGCCCCCACAGCCGCCCCTCAGCCGCCCCTCAGGCGCCCCCACAGCCGCCCCTCGGCCGCCCCTCAGCCGCCCTTCGGCCGCCCCTCAGCTGGGACAAGGGAGAGCTCTCCCGCCCCTCAGCCGCCCCACGGCCGCCCCTCAGCCGCCCCATGGCCGCCCCTCAGCCGCCCCTCAGCCGCCCCTCAGCCGCCCCACGGTCGCCCCTCAGCCGCCCCCCCAGCCGCCCCACGGCCGCCCCTCAGCCGCCTCTCAGCCGCCCCACGGCCGCCCCTCAGCCGCCCCTCAGCCGCCCCTCAGCCGCCCCACGGTCGCCCCTCAGCCGCCCCCCCAGCCGCCCTACGGCCGCCCCTCAGCCGCCCCCACGGCCGCCCCCCAGCCGCCCTACGGCCGCCCCTCAGCCGCCCCCACGGCCGTCCCCACGGCCGCCCCCCAGCCGCCCCCACGGCCGCCCCCCAGCCGCCCTACGGCCGCCCCTCAGCCGCCCCCACGGCCGCCCCCACGGCCGCCCCTCAGCCGCCCCGCAGCCGCCCCGCAGCCGCCCCACAGCCGCCCCCTCAGCCGCCCCACGGCCGCCCCACGGCCGCCCCCCAGCCGGGACGGAACAAGGGAGAGCTCTCCCGCCAGCCCCCAAGCGGCTCCGCGGCTGCTGGTGGATTTTCTAACAGAAACTACCCGATCCCGCCCCGTCCTGTGGCCCGTCTCACAGGTGACGGGCCTGGCCCCGGGCACCCGGCCTCGCCCCGGCGTCTGGCTGGAGTCCCCGGAGCAGGCTCACCCCGAGCCCCTGCCCCGACCCGGCCTCTCCCCCCCAGAGGCTCCGCCATCGGACGGCGCTGTTCTCCCCAAGATCGTAGGTGACGCCCGGCGGAGAGGAGGCGGCCGCGCACTCTCACCGAGCCCGTCAGCGACAACCACTGAGCCGCCCGGGTGCTGGGACCAGTGGGCCCGCCGAGGGCCTGGAGGCCGAGGCCGGTGAGGCCGGGACCAGCTCTTCCGGGGCCACGGCCCGCTGTGTCCTCCCCAGTGTCTGTCTGTCCATCTGTGTCTGTGTCTCTGAACCTGTTTGCTCCCTCTCCTTTCTGTGCACGTGTGTGCATATTGCATACACAGGCGTGCATACGTGTGTGTCTCTGTGCACCTCTGTGTGCACAGCCCCGTGCTTCTCCGTGCCTCCCCCTCCCCCGCTGGCCGCGGTGCGAGAGGCGCCTTCGGAGACATCGAGTCCCGCTCCTTTAATAGTTAAAGGGCCGGCGTCCGTTAATAATTAAAGCCCCGCGCTCTGACTCTGCGATCCATCATTGAGGATTTTGCCTTTAAATCGGTCCTTGACAGCCTCGCAGATTTCCACTCACAACAGCGATCGTGGAGGATGTGCGGGCTCTTAGGGCGTCAGAGCCCGTCGCCCGGACACGGCCATCTTTTCCAGACATTTCACTCCACGTGAGTGTCCCCAAGGCACAGGGAAAAGTCCCCGTGTCTGAGGAACACACCTGACACGGGGGCTGTATTTTATCAAAATAGGTTCTTATTTTTGTCAGAGAGGAAGGGTGAGGGAGAGAGACATCCAGGATGAGAATCATGGGCCAGCTGCCTCCTGCACGCCCCCTACTGGGGATCGACCCCACAACCAGGGCCTGTGCCCTGATGGGGAATCGAACCCGGGACCCTTCAGTCCGCAGGCCGACGCTCTATCCACTGAGCAAACTGGCCAGGGCTCCCTCTGCTCGTTAAGTCAGTTTGAATCTGTGGGTTTTCTCACTGGAAACAGAGGTGCCTGGCTACGGTCACGGGGGAAACTGTTCTGAGAAGAGACACTCGGGTTGGAAGGACCCAGGACTGGGGTTAGGACCCTTGTCACCACCACCCCCCACACACACACACACCCTCTGTGGCCCTGCCTTGTCCTCCCCAGAGCGGGGCCTTGGAGACGGATGCTGAGGGGGACCCACGCCCAGCAGCCCTGCCCCTCGAGCGTCCTCAGGGCCGTCTGCTCTCCGGCCAGAACCTCTTCGCGAGGAGGCTGGGCCCTGGGGCCGGGCTGCTGGGAGCTGCAGACCAGACGGGCCCCTGACCCTGTGCCTGCGGGAGGGCAGAGCTCACCCTGGGGGCTGCACCAGGCCGGCGGCCTCGCTGTGAGTGCCCCCTAACCCCTGTCCCCTGCCCCGCCCCCACTGCAGGGCGGGCCTGGCGGGGACCCTCCATGACCTGTCCCCCTCTCCTGGGGGGGGGATGCCAGCCTGAGCGTGCCCAGGCCCGGGAGGAAGCCTTGGGTTCAGCTCCCCTAATGCCCTAGGCCAGCTAAGAAGACACTTCTCAGCGGATTGGAAATTAAATCGTGAAGATGCTGGGACCCGACTCACACACACGGAGCGATGCTGCTGCAGGGAGGGCCTGAGTGAATCTGACAGAGCGTGTGGGGGGCAGGGGCAGGATGTCTTTGTGTTAAGACAGAGCCCCCTGCGAGGTCTCAGGTCCCGGGGGGCTGCAGGGACGCGGTGGCCGGCCTCGGCTGGAGCGGTCGCCCTGAGCCCCCAGAGCCCCTGGACCTGCCTGTGCGGCGGCGGCCCGGCCCGGCCCGGGAGCTGCTGCCGCTTCCGTTTAAGGAGACGGCAGACCCAGGGTCCCGCTCTGCTCAGAGGCGAGTCACAGGAACAAGCCGGGGAAGCCAGCACCCCCAGCTCCCCACACCCCCCGTCACAGCCCCTGTGTGTGCAGAGGACACACAGCCGCCCGGTGCCGCCCGCAGCTGCCGGGGCCGCTCTCCTGGAAGAGCTGAGAACGCAGGAACAAAGGGCATGTGCTGCTCATCCGCCCTGACGTGCCCTCGGGGCCTCTCTACCCGCCAGGAGCAGCTTCCCGGGGGCGGAGCGGGAGCTGAGAGCAGAGGTTTGGGGAAAACAGGCGTCTGAAGAGAGCGGAGCAGCCAACTGGGGCAGGCTCCATCGGAA